CCAACTTATCATCACTCGACAATGTTCTACAAGAATTAGTAATGCACATTAATGATAAACATCATCGTAATGATTTTCTTAATATCCTTCGACAAAACAAGCGTTCATTTGACACCTCAAAAATGACCCGAGCAAACACCAAGATTCATCATACCATCAACACTGGTGATCACCCACCAACAAGTGTTCGACCATATTATAGGACGGTTCAACAAAGAAAAGAAATGCAACAGGAAGTGGGAAAACTACTCGATCAAGGTATTATTCGACCATCCAACTCACCATGGTCGTCTCCAGTGTTGTTAAAGTTGAAGCCTTTTTGTTGTTCATCTGAATATTTAACTTTGGACATTTTTTAAAATCTGGTAAAAATAAGGAGTAGCAGATGAGATCGGCACCTGCATTTCGTATTCTTTCTTCTGCGAGGCGAACATCGACCGAGCCCACATCAAGAAACGGTGTTATTGTAGTTCCGCCTTGTGGGTGATTGATCTCAACTTGGTTTTAACCAATATTCACGTTCACATTATTTGAGTTACACCGGTCCGTACCAAGAACTAACTTAGCACCTAATGAAGCGACAATAAGGACTGTGATGACAGTGGTAATATCATTGATAGTGACACTTAATTCAACTATACCATTGACCATAATATTGGTTCGTCCATCACCGAGTGTCGCAGTTGTTTGAATTGGTGGATGCATAATATTATCAAATTCAGCTTATGAAATGAAGGCTGTAGTAGCCCCCGTATCAACCGTTGCGTGAATTGATTGACCATTGACGAGTGTATCAATTATAATAAGTGATGGATGAGATTGTGGAAAGAAAGTTCGACCATCACACACGCCCCCTAGTAGTTTTTTGAGCAATTTTTGTACTGATAATGGTCCATACCACCACATGACCAACACTCACCATACGTTTTCTCGTTGTTGGTGTGTTGCGTTCGAGGTGGACCGTGTTGTGGATAACGAGGTTGCTGTGATGAGTAGTTGTATCGTTGTGGTGGAATTGAAGAAGATTGTTCTTGTTGCATGATAGGATGTTGCATTGTTCTTGTTGATATATTTCTGTAATGATCAAACGATGTGGTAGCTTTCTGTTAAATTTTTTCCTCTTCTTGTCATTTATCATACTTGATACGAGCTTGGATCTTCAGTAGTGTCCGGGCTTTTTAAATCCATATGTAGTTGAGCTGCTGCATTGAGCCCTTTCGTAAGATGTTTGAGTCGAGTTTCCTCATCCATGTATTTATTAACTTTTGAACAGAGTTTAAGGACATTGTGGCAGTAGGCAATTGCCAACTCATTTGGTTGTCGCCGTCGATTATAGAGTTTTTGTTCTAATTGAAAGTGATCGGTACCAGTTACAAGTGTAAAGTAAGTCATTAATTTGTTTTTTAGTGTGTCCCAATTATCAATTGTATCTTTGTGTGTGTCGTACCATAGTTTAGCATTGCCCTTTAGGAGATCAATAACCACCGATAGCCGTTGAGCATCGTCTAGTTGGAGTTGATCACATTTGAAGCTAAAGTCGTCAATCCAGTCTGAGACCTCTTGTGAAGTCGATCCAGAGAACGGAGTTGAATCAAGTAGTTGATTGAGTCGTTTGGATTGTAGCTGTTCGGCAGCGTTTTCCCTGAGGCTGGGTCCAGCCTTCATGAGAAGAGGTGGTGTCGACTGCGACAATAGAGCTGTTGTTGATGGTCCAGTTTAATATCCAAAGACGAATATAACCGATACACTCACACTTTATTATAAAAAATCAGCAACTATATATAGGTTTATGAACAATGCATTAGATATGGTAATGTCCGAGTTAAAGGAAATTCCCCAGACAGAATAGGGAGAAAACCCATCATTCAAAAGAAAGGAAAGAAACAGATAGAGAAAGTTACATCAGAAAGTTACAGGGAAATCTCTGACGTGTTTTTCTATGGGTTTTCTGGAAAACTCCAGTTTTCATCCAGTCACATTACGATCCCCCGAAAAAATGATCCGATCGAGCTCAAAATTTTACCACAGATACTTCAAATCCTATCTCAGATTCGATCTTTCTATTTTTGAAAAATATGCTTTCTTTGTCGAGATATTCGGAGAATACTGAAAATCCCATATAAAAAACTGGTTTTTCACTTTGAAAACCTTCTCACGCCGAAAGTTGAGATCGAAAATGCTTTAAAAATAAAGGAACCTGAGATAGAGTCTGAAGTATCTGTGGTAAAATTTTGAGCTCGATCGGACCATTTTTTCGAGGGTCGTAATGTGTGCCAATTGAAGGGACTATTAAAAAACGCATAGTGAGAAAAACACATATTGTACACACATTGGCTCTGTTTTTCAGAGCATTTGCGGCAATGCTTATATCTCTAAGAAAGCTAATCGGAAAATTCTGGAAAACATCCATTTTTGAAGAGCACACCTTCTTCTATCATGCTATATATAAGAAAAAGTTTGAATATATAGGAAAGGAGAGAAAAATTTACGAACCTAAAAATTGAGATTTTCTAGGGTTTGAAGGAAAAACTTAAAAGCTTCTTCATTTTTTCAAGGAAGGTCATGGAGAGCCGGAAGTGGTCTCATTTTATAGCATAGACTTTCCTCTACATTAGACTATGTTCAGCTCAAAATGACAATTTTTTTGCAAAAAAAGAGGGAGAAACCTCATGGACTTACCCAGTAAATCCATTTTAGACTCCATGTAAAGAAAACAATAAAAAAAACATTAAAATTAAAAGAATCGATGTTAAGAAATTATTCTGGATATTCAATTTCTTTGAAAATATATTCTACTTTTAGTTTTCAATTTGTCCACATACGAATTCGTGGGTGATTTTTCAAGTTTCAACAGCGTCGCTGAATTTGTGCAAAATCGACGATTTTCTGGAAAATACAAATTCATTTTATGAAAAGTGGAATTCCTGAAAATTCCTGGAAATCACATTTCCGGAAACGTAGAAAATTACTAGTAAATTCGTATATGGACGAATTGAAAATCGTTTTTTAATTTCTATAACGTATTTTCAAGTTTCCAGTGCATCTCTCTTATAAACACGTAATTTTTAAAAAGAAGAGGACATTTCACTAAGAAGTATCGTTCACCATGACTAGAAAACTTTTCAGTCACTAAAATATAACGAATGATTCAATAAATAAATCACCCAATATTCCAGTCAGTTTTTCCTGACATGACTCTTCCACGCGAGATTTCCGATAGTTTTCCATAATACAAATTTAGGTATTTTTTCTGAAAGAACACACTTGCACAGCTATTTGCCAGTATGTGGTAGGTGATGGGTGTCAGTAGATGGATGAAAGCAGTATGCGAGTGGGTACGAAAAGTAGTCTCATACACAAGATACGTGAATCACCTGGTATGAAACTAGATAAGTTACTTTATTGGCACACGCTGAGTAGGGGTGGAACAGTTCCAGTTCAGTTCTTTCGAACGGAAACTGCATACTAGTTGTTCAAGAATTCAAAACCAAATAAAACCAGCGAAACCAGATACATTGACTTTGTTTAGTCAGTCGATAGAGAAATGTTTTCTCTTTCAATCTACACAAGGCCGACTTTCCTAGCTTGTTCCATTCAGGAGCTATAAGCGTTTTTCTAGGAGTGGCAATGTTTATTTTCAGTTTCAAAGTCATTATTTTATTATATTATAAAGTCATTATTTTAAGATTTTCGAAATATCTACTCCGCAAACCATTTAGTAGGAAAAAGTTGAATTTTTAAAAATCTTAATATAATGAATTTATCTCGCTTTGAAACTGAAAATAAACATTGCCACTCGACTCAGCGTGGCCGATTACCACCATGTCGACCTATTTTGCCATTAGACCCGATGTGGCCGATTACGTATTTTCCAATCGATTTCAAGACTATCTGAAGTTACTGGATACCAGTCCTAAGATTCAAGGAAATCGGATACCAGGCTCGAACCACTGAAAATCAAGTTCTCATTTGACCCCATTTTGAAGAGGACGCTTTGGATTACCTGTCCATGAAGAAAATCGAAAGTATTTGCACCTGAAGTTTATCAGCTATGAGTTGGTTTTTCAAAGGTCTCCTCGGAAACCTACTTTAAAAAGGTATTTTGGAATTGACATCTTTATAAAAAAATTGAAGAACGAATTTTGAGTTCTTGAGAGCTGCAGAACAGAATTTGAGTTCTCTATTTGAGACTAATGAAGAACCATATTCTCATTGATTTTTCAGTTCTTTGAAAAACCGAAGAACACGGTTTTTCTAGAGTGTATATTGGTGTTGGAAGTATTCCTAATTTGAAGTCTAATAATAACAGCATCAAAGATAATTTTTAAAATTAATAGGATAATGGCAGAATGGATCTCGGATATAAAAAGGAGGCAGGAAAGATCTCAGAAAAATAATTTTGTCTGTTTCTGCATAAAAGATTTTTGAAAAAGACACTCTGCTCCATTCTATCGTTGTTACTCTTTCTCTCCTCGATTACTGCAGCATTTAACAAAACCTTTCGCAACACCATTTAGATTTACATTGAGCGAAAAAAATAGCTATATGGTATAATAAAGTCAAAGGGGATACGCACAGTGGGCAATCACATGGAAATTAGGTGGAAAAATGAAAGTTACTCTTTTAATGATTTAAATAATGTTTTATATATACTAGCCAGTGGCCAATTTAATGGTGAAAAATATTTGATCCAAATGCTTTAAGTGGTCGAGATGGGTAAGTCACAATTTTTTGCAATTTTTGCTACAACTCGACGAAAATCCTTTTCTCTTGCCGAATAGGCAGTCACTTAAAAATTGTAACATATATATTCTGGAAGCTGCGCAGTTGGGCTATTGATTCATAAAACGATTTTTGTCCGAACGGGTTGCGAAAAGGAAAGAACATGATTTTTATCTGCACGGGATGTCTTTCGGAAACATGCGCCCAGTAAAGGGGGCACGCCATCCACATCCAAGCTCTGTTTTCAATGAAACTTTCAGCAATTGTTCCTCTGTATGTGGCACGTCTAGATGGAATGCTCAAACTTGCCCAAACATTTCTGGGCGAAGTTGTAGACTTTACAAAAATCCTGGATTTTTATCGTTTTCGAGGCCGGTGGTTTTTATATCGTTAGAAAAGAGATCTGGAGGCCTACATATAATTGTTTTATAGCTTTCTGAGTACGGATGATTCAATGGACTTATTTAAAAAATTCTAAACTGGTTTTGCAAGGGTTTTCTATAGACCGGATCTCTGGAAAGCCCTTAAAACATGGATTTTGAACTTTGTAAGTGACCCCATTAGAAAGAACACACTCGAAAACCTAGGAAAACATATCTGAGAGATCTTTTCGGCGCTTTAAAATCCAATGTCCACATGCCTAGGCAAAATTGCCCACTGTGATACGTACTGTATAATATAGCTGTAACGACGAGATCACAACGTGGTCAAGACACATATTTTCATCCGCGATCATCATTTATACATTCTTTTTCCTTTTGTTTTGCGAGATCTCTTATGCAGAAACGGATAAATTTATTTTTCCGATGTCTTTTCTGTCCTCTTTTTATATGTGGGATCCATTCTACTAATTTTCCGAGATCATTTATTTTCTCGTCTAATAAATATACAGTTTTTAGAGAATTAAATTCTCTATCGTCTGGCATATAATAGAAATTCTTTTATAAATATGAAAGTGATAGGAACTGCATTGACATTTAGTGCAATTTATTCTGGTCTCCCCATTAGTTGCAACCCGAGAGCTCTAATCTTATAAATGATTTGTGTAAATTTTCTACAGTATTTCTAAATGATGGATCTTGAGTAAAAGAGACAGGATAGATGCTGGATGATTATGACGCAAGAGTAGTAGAATCTGATGATGCTTGCAAGATATGATAGTCAATTAATTGCTGGTCAGCTTAGTACAGCTGTACTATTTCCAATAATTTTTCAGGTGTAAGAACACCTAGACCATTAATTTTTTCTAATAAAGAGATTTTCATACCATTTTTAAGTAGATCTAGTTGTTGTTCCGATGATAATTTCGGATCATATTAGTGACATAATTTTTTAATATCATTATAATACTTAATAAATTTCCCATCATGATGTTGTTTTTCGGGTTAATAATTGTTGAAAAATAGCTGTACAAGTAGGTTCTGGTGATGGTGGATAATTGACACGCAATGCTGTTTTAAAAATAGCCCACGTGGTTATTTACTCTACTTGTGTCATATACCATTTTAAAGCTTCATCAGTTAGAAATTGTACTGACCGTTTAAGTTGTTGTGATTTATCGAAATTTCATGCAAAAAATTTTACATGTAACAGTTTTAACCGGTCATCGATATTTTCGTTCTTCTGGCCAGAAAATTTTGGAAAATCTTTAATAATGGCATCCAACATTAAATCATCAGTGTTGATCATTGTGACAGTATTATTGGTCATGGACCGTGTAGCTGCTATAGTTCGGCACCATTGTTATACCCATCTCATTTTAGTCGAACAACACAACAGAAAAAACAAAAAACTGTCCCTCTACTGCAGAGAAAATCTCACAATATATAGATGTAAGAGAGAGAGAGAAAAGAATCTGAACACAATGAATGTAGCTATGATAAGAGAAGGAATGATGACAAAGAGAATGCTGGTGGGAGAGTCATGACTTATGTCAGTAACGA